CTGATCTTTTATTGTAATATTTTTTTTTCAGAATATGCTGTCATTTTTTTATTTTCTGACATAGCAACAATAAAAATGAGGAGTGGCATAGTAATACTATATATATTACATGTTTGCATATGTTGCGTCGTAGAACCAGGCGGAGACGGAACTTCTTGTAAGGGCTTTCGGCGTTTATTAATACTATTTAAACACTCAGGCTCACACCAGGGGTAGGTGTTCTCTATTCTCAGTCCTTCCCATGGGCCCCCGAGCTCGACTCGTCCTAACCTCGGCTATCCCTTGGCTCTCTCACTCGGGCCGGGACGGGGGTTCATCCAACACCGGCCGGCCGAGGAGAGAAGAACCCCATTCACTCTCAGCCGATTCTCACAGACTTCTTGGAGCCCTACTCTCGGCTATCTCTTCGGCTCTCCCACTCGTCGACCCCGGATGGGGGTTCAGCCAACACCATTTGGTTATGAGCGGTAGAGACCTCCTGCAGCCAATCCACACTTCGGGCCCCCACAACGACCCCAACTTCGTCATAGGGTCCCCCTTTATTACCCCTTGGGCGGCTCCTTCCCTTCACTCGGACCCGCTCCTGTTCCCGAAGGTGTCCCCTTACAGCACCCATGACATGACGCCAGCACACTACTCCTCTACACATATGTAGTGGGTTCCAGGGACACCGGAGACGTAGCACTTGAGGCACACGTTTATTCAATACAACTGCGGGATACACAGGTCCCTAACACAGAGGGGTAGCGGCCCCTCTACCCGATACCCAAGGAGGTACAGCCTCCGGGCTAGCATGTCCTAACCACTCGGACTACACTCACGTTCCTCCGGCTAAGGGGACCTAGGGGAAGACTATATGACCCGACACAGCCAAGGTTCTCGGGTCCCGACCACTGACCCACTCGGTCCCGGCCCTTAGAAGGATGGCGGGTCTGGGCTGTCCCAGTGTCATAGCCTAGCTGGTCTTCTTTCTTCAGCTTGATGAAGACTGCCGGACTCGTCCAGAGGTCCGGCTTTTATACCCGTGGGCGGGTCTCTCCGCCCCTGGCCACGCCCCCCTTCTGGAACTCTCTAGGGGGCTCTGGAATATCTCCCCCAACCCCTCTCTTGGGGTTTGGAGTGCCTAATGTCCCAACGGCCCGGCTCATCATTTGTAAAATGTCGAGTGATATATAGCTAAGATATTTTTGTACGCACAAAGATTATATTTAAATAGCTACATATGGCATAATCCATAAACAATTGATTGCAAGCGATCTCTCATTGTACAAATAATAATGTGCAGCCCTTTGTCAATCCACTGTTGTTTGAAGACCCCATCACACTTGTGTTGATTATTGGAGTCGTTTGACCATACTTCACCACGCTGATCACCACGATTATGTTCGTCTTGGCTGGAAATGGAACTATTGTCACTGAATTCATAACGCATTGCTAAAACCACTGCACCACAATATACATTATGTGTAATGTCCTTTAATCAGGTGAAAGCTCATGAAGACGCATGACCTCCTTTGCAATGGAAACTTGGATCTATAGTTACAATGGAGAGTTATATTATTATTTTTCATTCGGTCTATTTGCGGGTAATTTTCAAACTGATGACTCTCGGTTATCATATCAGCAAACCACAACCTGGAAATTATTCTGAAAATGATGCCTGCGCAGTATATTTTGAACAGCAGATATTAGGATTTACTATTTCTTTTTCTATTTCTTTGCTGAAGTTACGAGGTGGTTGCAAGCATTAAATCGTGAATTTAATAATACTGGCTCGGGGTGATTATTATACAAACAACCTAGCTTGATTGCTTCTCATGCTTGCTAGCATAACATGTCATGTGTTGGAAATTTTCTGGGGTAGCATGAGCAATATGCATGGGCTTGTCTTTGTTGATATCCTGTGTATATTTGTTTAAATACTGCATCTTTATGTTTGCATACGGTATGAAAAGGTGAGAGGGGTGGCACAGTGGTTAGTGTACTCCACTACGAACAAGGTGGCCTGTGTTCAATGCCAGGGCACGGCTAATATCAGTGGTGATATCTGAACCCCCTGTGACCAGAGTGGTGAAGTATGGTCAAACAATCATCATAGCGAGCACAGCACGGGGAAGTTTTCCTGCTTCATAATGCATAACTAGTTTAATGCTTGCAGTTTGTTTTTAGTGCACTGAAATATATTTTACTTCACTTGCCCAAGAGGCTTATTGTCTTATGAATTCCCACCTGGTTATGAAGGTCATGATGCTGGTGACGATTGAAATGTCTCTAGGTTTTAGTGTTGCAAATGTAATCTGATATGCTGATTGATGGTTTTTGCAGCTCAAGTAGTTGAAGGTTGATTCTCCAGCTACAGTGAGGATAAAGTATTTTATCCCCTGCTGATTTTGTACGTTTGCCCACTGAACAAAGAAATGATCAGTCTATAATTTTAATGGTAGGTTTATTTGAACAGTGAGAGACAGAGTAAACAACAACAAAAAATCCAGAAAAACGCATGTCAAAAATGTTATAAATTGATTTGCATTTTAATGAGGGAAATAAGTATTTCACCCCTCTGCAAAACATGACTTAGGACTTGGTGGAGAAACCCTTGTTGGCAATCACAGAGGTCAGACGTTTCTTGTAGTTGGCCACCAGGTTTGCACACATCTCAGGAGGGATTTTGTCCCACTCCTCTTTGCAGATCTTCTCCAAGTCATTAAGGTTTCGAGGCTGACATTTGGGAACTCGAACCTTCAGCTCCCTCCACAGATTTTCTATGGGATTAAGGTCTGGAGACTGGCTAGGCCACTCCAGGACCTTAATGTGCTTCTTCTTGAGCTACTCCTTTGTTGCCTTGGCCGTGTGTTTTGGGTCATTGTCATGCCGGAATACCCATCCACGACCCATTTTCAATGCCCTCGCTGAGGGAAGGAGGTTCTCACCCAAGATTTGACGGTACATGGCCCCGTCCATCGTCCCTTTGATGCGGTGAAGTTGTCCTGTCCCCTTAGCATAAAAACACCCCCAAAGCATAATGTTTCCACCTCCATGTTTGACGGTGGGGATGGTGTTCTTGGGGTCATAGGCAGCATTCTTCCTCCTCCAAACACGGCGAGTTGAGTTGATGCCAAAGAGCTCCATTTTGGTCTCATCTGACCACAACACTTTCACCCAGTTGTCATCTGAATCATTCAGATGTTCATTGGCAAACTTCAGACGGGCATGTATATGTGCTTTCTTGAGCAGGTGGACCTTGCAGGCACTGCAGGATTTCAGTCCTTCACGGCGTAGTGTGTTACCAATTGTTTTCTTGGTGACTATGGTCCCAGCTGCCTTGAGATCATTGGCAAGATCCTCCCGTGTAGTTCTGGGCTGATTCCTCACCGCTCTCATGATCATTGTAACTCCACGAGGTGAGATCTTGCATGGAGCCCCAGGCCGAGGGAGATTGACAGTTCTTTTGTGTTTCTTCCATTTGCGAATAATCGCACCAACTGTTATCACCTTCTCACCAAGCTGCTTGGCAATGGTCTTGTAGCCCATTCCAGCCTTGTGTAGGTCTACAATCTTGTCCCTGACATCCTTGGAGAGCTCTTTGATCTTGGCCATGGTGGAGAGTTTGGAATCTGATTGATTGATTGCTTCTGTGGACAGGTGCCTTTTATACAGGTAAGAAGCTGAGATTAGGAGCACTCCATTTAAGAGTGTGCTCCTAATCTCAGCTCGTTACGTGTATAAAGACACCTGGGAGCCAGACATCTTTCTGATTGAGAGGGGGTCAAATACTTATTTCCCTCATTAAAAATGCAAATCAATTATAACATCTTTGACATGCGTTTTTCTGGATTTTTTTGTTGTTATTCTGTCTCTTACTGTTAAAATAAACCTACCATTAAAATCATAGACTGATAATTTCTTTGTCAGTGGGCAAATGTACAAAATCAGCAGGGGATCAAATACTTTTTTCCCTTACTGTATGGTCTGTGTAGAATTAGAATTCAAAAGAGACTCTTTCTTTCAGAACTCAGTCCATGCCCAGGTGTGAATGATATCAAATTAAGATTACAATGTGTAGCCAAACCCTGAGTTATCCTAAATAGATATTTGCGATCAATTCCAAAGTTATCCACGTATATATATAATACTTTGATATAATCTGCAATGACAAGGCAAAATAAAATGTTTACGCCAATATAAATCATCCCATACTGTAACTTAGGCGAATGACTTTTGCTGTAGTGCTACCACAGAGGGCAGTCACAGTCACATCTCTGCCGAGAAATCCGTCCGACGACTCCTTTGTCAGTGCCACTTATCAGTGCCTGCTAATCACGCAGTGGGCAAGATGGACACTCCTTACGCGGGTGACGTGGTAAAAAAGACAAAACCTGCAGGTGTTTGACCTCTCTGACCCCTTGGCTGCATTGTGTTTGCACGGTTTGTGCAGTGCCACGGGGGTTTAGTTAAGTTCATGAGGTACTCGTGTTGTGCACATAGCCCGTACACGTCTCGCCGACACTCACAACTAATTTTTCTTCCCACTCGGGGCTGTCAGAACTTACCGTATTGGCAGGGCGAGGCGTGGGCTGTGCATGTGAATCTTATTGTGGGTGCAGACTCTCATTGGGCACACCCCCCGACTGTCCTTGTCTAGTCTACCTTAGCGGGAGTGCATCCTACAGCACTGGCCATTCATTACTGTCCCAGACAAATATGAGCCTGACAAACTATTTTGCACAAGAACTCTCGGCAAAATGGCCGCTTGGTGGCCTTATTAAGAAGTTGCATGGTCGCCAGCTTGGCGGTGACCGCGCGGGATTTTTATTGAATACCCATGTTTATCAGTTGGCTCTGTGTAGCTCACTGTTGCATTTCACATGATGGTGATTAATTGTGTCCAAATTTTGTCTTCCCTATTCACCTACCCTGTCCTTCCACCTCTGCCCTCCCTCCATATTTCTGTCCTTTTCTTCTTCCTTCCCTGCTTGCCCCCTTGTTTCTGCTGTGGACAGCTGCACTGGAGGACCTCCCCGGCAACCGGGCTCTCTTTCTGTCCTGCCAATGCCTCCTGCTAATCCTTGGCTTTCTCCTGACACTCAGCACATAGCAGGCCGGTGGTGTACCCTGGAGTCGGGTGTTACAGTGAGGGAAAAAAGTATTTGATCCCCTGCTGATTGTGTACGTTTGCCCACTGACAAAGAAATGAACCATCTATAATTTTGATGGTAGGTTTATTTGAATAATGAGAGACAGAATAACAACAACAACATCCAGAAAAACGCATGTCAAACATTTTATAAATTGATTTGCATTTTAATGAGGGAAATAAGTATTTGACCCCTCTGCAAAACATGACTTAGTACTTGGTGGCAAAACCCTTGTTGGCAATCACAGAGGTCAGACGTTTCTTGTAGTTGGCCACCAGGTTTGCACACATCTCAGGAGGGATTCTGTCCCACTCCTCTTTGCAGATCTTCTCCAAGTCATTAAGGTTTCGAGGTTGACGTTTGGCAACTCGAACCTTCAGCTCCCTCCACAGATTTTCTATGGGATTAAGGTCTGGAGACTGGCTAGGCCACTCCAGGACCTTAATGTGCTTCTTCTTGAGCCACTCCTTTGTTGCCTTGGCCGTGTGTTTTGGGTCATTGTCATGCTGAAATACCCATCCACAACCCATTTTCAATGCCCTGGCTGAGGGAAGGAGGTTCTCACCCAATATTTGACGGTACATGGCCCCGTCCATCGTCCCTTTGATGCGGTGAAGTTGTTATGTCCCCTTAGCATATTTGACGGTGGGGATGGTGTTCTTGGGGTCACAGGCAGCATTCCTCCTCCTCCAAACATGGCGAGTTGAGTTGATGCCAAAGAGCTCAATTTTTGTCTCATCTGACCGCAACATTCTCACCTAGTTGCCCACTGAAACATTCAGATGTTCATTGGCAAACTTCAGACGGGCATGTATATGTGCTTTCTTGAGCAGGGGGACCTTGCGGGCGCTGCAGGATTTCAGTACTTCACGGCGTAGTGTGTTACCAATTGTTTTCTTTGTGATTATGGTCCCAGCTGCCTTGAGATCATTGACAAGATCCTCCCGTGTAGTTCTGGGCTGATTCCTCACCGTTCTCATGATCATTGCAACTCCACGAGGTGAGATATTGCATGGAGCCCCAGGCCGAGGGAGATTGACAGTTCTTTTGTGTTTCTTCAATTGCGAATAATCGCACTAACTGTTGTCACCTTCTCACCAAGCTGCTTGGCAATGGTCTTGTAGCCCATCCCAGCCTTGTGTAGGTCTATAATATTGTCCCTAACATCCTTGGAAAGCTCTTTGGTCTTGGCCATGGTGGAGAGTTTGGAATCTGATTGAGTGATTGCTTCTGTGGACACGTGTCTCTTATACAGGTAACAAGCTGATATTAGGAGCACTCCCTTTAAGAGTGTGCTCCTAATCTCAGCTCATTACCTGTATTAAAGACACCTGGGAGCCAGAAATCTTTCCGATTGAGAGGAGGTCAAATACTTATTTCCCTCATTAAATGCAGACCAATTTATAACATTTTTGACATGCGTTTTTCTGTATTTTCTTGTTGTTATTCTGTCTCTCACTGTTCAAATAAACCTACCATTAAAATTATAGACTGATCATTTCTTTGTCAGTGGGCAAACGTACAAAATCAGCATGGGATCAAATACTTTTGTTCCCTCACTGTAGCTCGGGAACTCCAGAGCACAGATTCCCCACACCCCTTTGGGAGTGCACATGGGTGTATGAAGCAGGGAGTTGGAGGTTGAGGGAGCGGGAATAATTTAGTAGTTTCTTCTTGCCGACCAATGACAGCCACATTGACATCCCAATCTTATAAATCCTTCATAGGGCTTTTATTAAAATACAACTTGGTAATGCTATTCCGCTATATATTCTGTGACTCCAAACAGGTGATTGCATTCAAAAAAGAAAATAAGTTTCACAAAAGCCAAGCAGTATTGTATCATATCCCATAGGAGCTTTTGCATGCAGATTAAAATCTTTTTATTGAAAAAGGGAACATATTAGAACAAAGCAGTGCACGACAAAGAGAAGTTAATTAATTTTCTACAAATGTTATTTTCACCCAGTTCCTCCTTTTGCAACTTTGGTTGTCGTTTTCTCAATGACACTTTATTCCCTGATGCTGGTCAAGGATATCACTGTGGGTGCATGTCTCTACACGTTACCGGATGACGTCTATTAATCTACTGCAAAGCCCACTTGTTGATGCACCGCTGTTCACTGATTGATACATCTTTGCTCAAACCACAGAGTGTGGTGGAAAACATATTACAATCCTAAACTAAGGTGGCAATGTATGAAATGTGGACAGGATGGGCTACGGTGATTTTGAACAGAGCAGAAATGTATAAGCTTTGCCCAACAAAATTCCAATCTTTCACGTGCACACACATAGTACTGGGAGGCACTGATTAACATTTCATTGTCCCAAGGTGTTGAGAGAATGTGCTTTGAATTCCCCTATCATGGGAACATTTCAGTAACTTCTTGGTCACGTTTTACATTTTGTGATTCCACGTGAACAGATAGCAACGCTTATGATAGTGACATCAACACTTGCATGTATGTTTAGTAACACATATCTGCCGAATGGGCAAAACATTTGGACATGCAAAATAGTGATTTGTGTATTTTCTTTTAATTACTTATCCATTTGTATCCTACAACTAGCTATGGCAACCTCCCTCTGCCTCGAGCTACCCACCCCCAATTGGTCACATTCACCCCATGTTTGACAAACGTTCAGCTGCCGGCTCTCGATGAACCACTCTCCCGGTGGCATGCCGCTGTTCATGCATTGGGTTTCAAATGGGTTTTGTTTATTTGTTGTTCAACTTTTTTTATGACAAGGCGAGTCAAAATGGGAACCAAGTGACGTTACCGTGAATGTGGTGACGATTCCCCCATATGTGCGCACGCTCCTGTTGCAGAGATCCCCAGATGTTGTATTAATAAATAAATAAACTCTGATTTAATGTATCAGCTAAGTTTTTGTTTGTTATCGTGCCCTGCAAATTCTGTATTCAAAGCATGCTTCTGTAAACGAGAATATTTTTTTTATAAGCTGAAACACATAACGTCTCATTTCCTGTTTGGAGCCCACTCTTTGTACTGCATTGTGAAGCCTTGATAGTTGAACACACTAAATTATGTTTTGTGTGCATGTGTATTCCCTTTTCCTGCAAAGCAGTTGTAAACAATGCGGTGTAATGTATAAACCAATTACAATGTAAACCTTAAATGTGAAACTTTTGAAAGGAACCTTAAACGTATATGATACCTACATTTTGGATTAAAATTTAAAGTGGTGACATGAAGTGGCAGTGATTAAATTATATTATTACAGCAAGCAAAACTGGCATTAAATTAGTGTATCATGTTAAAATAGACTCTTGTATTGAGCATTAACTATCTATATTAATACACTCGTGAATAATTACGCATATAAAGAGGGATGATGTCGTAATTTAAGACCTGAAATTCACTATCATAGTTTTACAATCAGTTCTTTGGCATTAACGTATATGAAGATAACATCAACTATTTTTTTTGCAAATATGGAGACAGTTTTACACAAATAAAGAGTATAAGACAATTTAGTTTCACTCAGCTGCAAATTTAAAGTCTAGTTGTACAGTTATACAAACCATAGCCATACTAATTAACAAAGACAAAGGGGCATTTTGAGTTTCATCATAAATGGACCTTTCTCTTTGCTGCATGATGTTGGGGAAGACCTCTGACAGCTGTTAATGTTGTTTTTTCTTCTGTATAGTGATTGTGTTTTTAATTAAAATAAACGTTTAACATTAACTACAATTGCCTTTCTGGTTTTTAGATGGAACAAAACCAACCTTATTTATCCCAATCGGTAAGCCCTTTAAAACCATGAACCACGTGACTGACTTAAAGTTTAATGTCAGTTCAGCTTGCTGTATGTCTAACTTATGACTTATCTCTTGCAGTATTGTGCCAACATTATATAGCCTAATATGTGATGTTAGCAGGAAAAAGATGTTACATTTGTATTAAAACATAATTGTAAACTCAGAACTAGAATGTTTTTTAAAAGATATTTGGTGAAAGACAATTGTCTGCCAAAAACAATACAAAGTCACTGGAGGTGAAATATTGGTTCGATGCAGAATCAGATCAACGATGCAATAATTTTCTCGGTCGGAGACAATCTTATTAAGTTCAATAGTGCAGGTTTCCCACCTTTTATGCGGTAGTAGATGCATTCCAAACAAAGGTCGCACAAAGCGAAACCGCACGAGAAGACAGCTGCCTGCCCAGTAGCGCACACGGTACACGCACAATTTTGTCCCACGTCCGACCACATAGCTGCATACGAGTTAATTAAAACCGCATACTATGCTGCATAGCAAATTTTGGGTAGAAATAGATTCGCCGCATAAACGCAAAATTACACAAACCGAACCCGCGTAATGCAAAGGAGACCTGTAATAGGTCATTATTGTGAATACATAATATGAATGTTAGCAGATCAATAGTGCACTCATTAATGTAATAATGTATATAAATTATGTAAGTTAAAGACAGCAGGCCTGATTTACGTAATTTTTTGCCACAGTGTAATTCCACAAAATGTATTCCCGCTTTTTTCACGTGGCAGTGTTTTGGTTCGAATCACCACGTGCAGTGTGTTGGAGCCCCATTTTACCGCAGCCAATCAGTAGCCAGGCGGAGGGCCTGAGTAAAAACAGAGCCGAGCCTCATGACATCACCAAGACATCATCATGACATCATCACGCACGCCCTACCAACAAGACCGAGCTGATCAGTCAGGCTCTGTTCCGACTCGCACACGTGGACACACACCCACGCTCACGTGTCCGTGTAATAGTTGCTCTGTGTCTTTTACCGGAGCGCACAATTGTAGTCGCAATAACCCAAAGACAGCTTTTGCGCTCCTTAAAAACGATGTTGAAAAAAAATATAATGATGAAGATAATGGTGGCGATAAAGATGATGGTAACTATTGATTAATAAACGACAATCGTAACACCCAATATTACTCTAACTTACAAACATAATTTTATACTTACGCACATTATAATCATATTAGCCTTATCATGGGGCTTATCACACTCCCCAACCCATTACAGCCCTTCCAAGCAACCCGTGCCCTCACTCGTGTGGTCCAGTATTACTCCTCCTGCTCTATGATTCCCCACGAACTTTAGCTG